AAACCTAATCAGTGTTGTGTTTCGCTAGTTCAGACACGAATTGCAAATGCCACAACTAATACAGCTCATTCACACAGTGCTCACAGCCAATCCAGTTCTGTAGCTAACCAACAACTGACTTGCACAAGCTCCATAATTAACTCCAAACGCAACTAATCGAATGTTCTCTCTCTCATATCTCTCTCTCTCTCTCGCCCTCAATTAATGCCACACGCTGCTGAATTGCAAAAATATAAAACAAAACCAAAAATAACCTCCCATTGCATGTGCTCGCATTGCTGCACCGCCAGTTCTCTACTACCCCTACAAATTTTAATAACAACACAAATGTGGTGCGCGTCGCTCCACGACCCAAGAGACTAAATGGAAATATTGGTCAAGCGATGCACAGCCAGCAGCTGCTGCATCACCAGACTCTACAGCATCCGCATCCTCAACAGCAGCAGCCACCCTACTACGACCAGCAGCAACATCAACAGCACCAGCACCAGCAGCAGCAACATCAGCAGCAACAGCAACAGTACAACACTTTGCAGTACGGGCGTGGTTGCACAGCCCCGCCCCCTCTTACAGCTCCACATAATCGCAGCATGGACCAGCTCGAGTCCAGCTCCGATCAGATACAATATAATCTAAGCAATTGCTTTCCCAAAAGCTACACCGAGTACTACCAGCAACATCATCAGCAGCAGCAGCAGCAGCAATCACAGCAGCAGCAGCAGCAACAGCAGCAACATCAGCAGCAACCCTCGCAGCAACAGTCGCAAAAGTTTCACACAAACTCCGCATCGAATGCCCAACTGCTGAATGCCATCGAGCATGACTATCAGCCCACCTATGCGGTGGTTGAGCGTGTGCCACCGCCACCGCCGGCGCCCAGCTCAGCGCTGCTCAACACCAATCCCTTCCTCGCCGCCAGCAACTTTAAGAAATACGATGCGGCCGGGGACGAGCTGCTGGGCAGCATGCAGCGCAGCAAGCGCGGCAAGGTGGGCAGCCTGCTGGATCGCATCGATGTGGACAAGAAATTCTACTCACTGAAGTTTCCCAATGGCGGCAACAAGCTGAAGAAGCCCGCCTACAATCTGAACAGCTCGCTGGGCGTGGCAGCGACTGCGACAGCGCAACAGCCGAAATGCAAGCGGCATCATTCCTTTGCTGGTGGTAGCCATGGCGATATTGAATCCAACGGCAAGCCCATGCGCCTCTATGATCCGCCCGTCTACGAGAATGTGGCGGACAAGTGCGGCAACGAGCTAGACCTGGATCTAGATCTCGATGTGGGCGGCGACGGCAGCAGCAGCAGCATGCCGGCTGGCCATCACACACTCCACATGAATCACCATAGTCTTAAGCACAATCTCAATCTGGCCACGGTCCAGCTGCACTCGCAGCCGGCTGCTGTCGTCTCGGCGAGCCACAAGAAGAAACATCACCATCGCCAGCACCAGCAAAAGGCTGATGCATCCGGCGCCGGTGCTGCTGATTTCCAGCTGATGGAGCCCGAACGCCTCAGCATCTATCGCAGCGATTCGGGCATATCGAACAGCTCCTATGAGTCGCAGCTGCCGGCGCTGGGCCAGCGCACGCCCAAGCCGCACAAAGCGTCCGCAGCGGGCCTCAATCTCACACGCAAGCCGCTCTACATGAATGTGGAGGGCCAGCAGCAGCAACACCAGCAGCAGCAGCAGCAATTGGCACGTGCCGGCTCACCAGCCCATATTAATTCGTCCTATGAATCGGCCTCGTCGGCGCCCGTCACAGATCCCACCTCGCTCAGCTCATCCAATTCGCTTTATAGCAGCGGCATTGGCACCGTCAGCTCGCGCTGCAATCGCCATCCACAGCAACAGCAGCAACAGCAGCAACAGCAGCAGCATCATCAGAGGCAGCCAACGCCGGAAATCACAACACCCGAGGATTACGAACAATATCAGCTGGGCCATCAGCCAGCACATTCCGCTTCCATGCTGTCCGTTGCCAGCAGCCTAAGTGCCGCCAGTCGTGGCAAGTGCAAGCCCCCCAGCACACCAGCAGCAGCAGCAGCAGCATCAACTACAGCAGCAGCAACAATGCAACAGCTGCCACATCGCGTAGGTCCACATGAGGTGCGTACATTAGAATTCGCTTAGGTTCGAGCCAGCCATGCTGGGTCGCCCATTGCCCCAGCGGCAGCATGA